GCATTTGCAAATGGGCAATGTGATACATGTAGCAAAAAATATTTTTTTCTATAGGGCTAATAATCTGAAAGAAATAGTACAACTTTACTCGCAGGGTCCAGTTTCCTGGGTTAAAGGGGGAAATTTTAAGTCAAGATTTTCTTGTCTAGAAACAGGTCACTGGAGAATGTAATAATTATTAACTTTTATTCTGAGGTCCAAACAAGAAACAATCTGTACAAAGGTAAATACTCCATGTCATTTGTTGTGGATCAAAATTTTAACCCTGGATTAGCCTTTCCTGAACCAGGCCCTGATTGTTGAAGAACCTAAATGAAACACACTAAATCAACTTAACAGGTTGTTTTACTAACCCAGGAGGATGTTTCCCAAAACGCCTGGTAATTTTTGTTCCTGAGCTTTGAAGGATGTTTTATGTTTGCCATGTTTCAAGAACGAGTTAACAGTAGATAATAACAAAGTTCTGAAAATGTTTTTCTAGTGCATTTTGCTTGTCCTTATGTCAAAATAACGTCAAACAATTTTCTGTATTTTACTAAGGACCTAAATTTTACAACTTGTTGAAAAATGAGATCATCAATAATCCTCACCTGTCTCCTGTAAAAAAAAAAGCACATGTAAGGCATCTTTAATTATTATTATTTTGTAATACAATTTCCTTTGACATTGTAATAGTGTATCCATCACCATAATAGAGAGATAAAGAGCCACGTTTATGTCAAATGCCAAACATCAGATTAAAATGAGAATTTCTCCGAATAGAAAATAAGCAGATAAAACCTGCCCAGAAAAATTATTCTTACGGATAAAACTGGCGTGAAATGACTTTTTTTGAATAGAAGTAATAGGCAGTAAACAACAATTAATGGCCTGTTTATATGATAGTGGGACCCCAGATAGGCAAGGTATCATGCGGGGGATTACCCCACCTATCATGTAAACGTGATCAAATTAAAATTGGAGAGTATATAGACTGGCGGGTTACCCCACCTAAGCGGGTCCCCCACCTCCATGTAAGCGGGCACTAAAGGAAAACTTGGTCACATGGTACAAACTCACATTTGCTTTTTGGCGTAAACATGACTCTTAATCTCTCTAATTTGAACAATAATTAATTATAATAATTAGTAATCAGTTATAATTATTATATCTATAATTATTATAACTAATGAATTTATTATAGTAATTATAACTGAGGAGGCCTAACTAACAAGCTACATATACTATAGTTTCCTTTAGGCCTACTTTTTTCCTTTGTTATGATAGTGTTATCTGTGGTGTGGTAAATAAAACAAATAGAATAATAAATATGTAATAAGCATTGATATTGTAAGGAGAAATAAGATACTGGTCACTATTTAAGGTTAAGGAGTTGATTCTTGTATGGCAGTAGAAGGTAAGAAAATGACAACAGTTACATTGTATTTAACAGAAGTTTTATTATACATGTATTTTTGTAGGTGATTGAAGAAGAAGGAAGCAACCCAGCTTTTATTCCACGAAGAGATGCTTTCTGGGGCCATGATGATAGATGGTCAGACATGCCTGATGAGGACAGGTACAGAATGATATAACAGTTTGTTTGAGTCAGTGTGTGTAAAATGAATACAGTCGACTCTCTCTTAACACACACCTCTAATCTATAAGACAGACACCTGGGGTGCTTACCATTTGACAGAAAAATGCGCTTGGGGTGTCAAAAGCATAATGGTAAGCAATTTACCAGTTGACCACAGAATTGCCACATCCACTACGGTTTGAATCCAAAAAAGGGGCGAATTTGTGTGGCATGAGTCTGGAACCGGGAAGGAACCAAGAAATTGGTAAATGTTGAGCAACATTCCAATTGGTTCGTACCAACTGGAATAAACAGACCACCTCAAAACATACATTGTACTCCTCAATTTTTAGTTAGAATTTCTGAAAAGTGACCTTTCATCTGGAATTTCCGAAATTTTCTGTCAAATGGAGTTAGTCCCTGCCTTTCTTTACTCCCTTTATTTGACCTTCTTTAAAACAGACATTACTCCTAGATGGACACTTACATGTAGTGCCAGTTGCTAAGGTGTCCGTCTTAGAGAGAGTTGACTCTTATTACAGACTTGCAGGCTTTGTTAAGACAGAGGGGTGTCGTGCATTGTTACAGTCAAGCCAGGTCAAGCATATTCTCTATTTAGTTAATTAATGGTGATAGGACTGAGTGGAGTCCAATTCGGTCTGTAATCATACGAGTGGTTGACAAAATCGGACAATAGCATAGCTACATGTACTGTATTTAACAATGGGTTTGAAACTGTTTATTTTTGTGTCCTTATTGGTGTGGTCAGGAGAAAGCCAACAACTCGTCAGTTATGGGATAAAACATCAGACAGATGGGAACATGACATGTACAGAGAGGACGAGCAAGGTCCGAAAACAAAAGAAGAGCTTGAGGTTAGAAGTTCTAAGAGTATATAAAAAAATATTAATAATAACTGGTATTAATTATTGGATGCCGCTTTAGTATAATATGAAGAAGCTTGAGCTTGACCCGCTTGAGGCAGATGTTGTTCATTCAAAATATTTGCAACCTCAAGACATCTTTGCTCAATTTATGTAAACAGGGCTTGTTTGAGTCGTGGAAAACCTGGAAAGGCATGAAATGTAAAAATTTCATTTTATAGGCCTGGAAAGTCATAGAATTTAATTACCAGTCTCGGAAATCTTGGAAAATTAAAGTTGTGTTTGGTAGATTAGTTACAGGATGGTGTAAGACAGATATTGGTAATTAAACAGTCCAAATGGTGCACATTTTGGAGTTTACTGGAGGTTGTGTCTGTTGAACTGAGTTGGGTCAAAAAATAACCTTAAACAGGAAAGTTCTGAAAATTTTTAAAAGTGACAGCTATTTACCTAAGGTCATGGAAAGTTTGAAAAGGTCATGGAAATTCATGGAATTTGAAGAGCTTAAAAGAGTATGCACCCTGGTAAATTTTGCTTCTTTATAACATTTACCAGTCCCTGGTATCACCTAGAAGTGGTCCTTGCAGAGTTGAGGATCTTTGTAAAGTTGAAAAATAAGAAATCAGTAGTTTCTCTAGCAACAGAACCTTTGTGGCTTGCCGGGTGTTGGAAAAGGGATCACCAATACATGGGTTCCCTTCCACAGATAGAAATCAGTGGGTGAAGGAGTATAGGGTGTGTGGGGGGGAATGTTGTGTGAAAAATACAAAATTATGTGAGAATTATGGTTAAGCAAAGTAACTGGGGGACCAACAAACCTGCAAGGCAGTTAAGCCCGCAGTGGAGGGGAATCCAGGTATTAGGTGATCCCTTCCCAACACCCAGCAAGCCACAAGGGTTGCCAGAGAAACTACTGATTTCTTATTATTTAACTTTACAAAGATCCTTGCCTTTCTTTAATCAGACTTTTCATAAGGTGGACACTTTTATGTCTCTCTCACAAGTGTTCTTGTAATTTTTTGAATGATAGTAACAACCATTTTTTATTTTTAGGCGACTTCTTGTTGGATTGAAAGGGGAGGCGGCCGACGTGGGAGGAGAAGATATGACTTGCAGGAATTTGTCAGAGGAGGAGGCCAGGGAGGCAGGGGAGGGGAGCGGAGAAGAAATCGAATGAGAATGGATGATGAGGAATTCCAACAAAATGAGCGAAATAAAGAAAACAGAGCTCCAGAGCAAAGACTGAGAAATGACGATCAAGAGCAGAGAAGGAGAAGACAAACCTCAGGGGATTCAGAGGAAGGAAGTGATACCAGGAGAAGGGGGTTTGGTAGACGAGAAAGACAACAGGACAGAGAAGGTGACGAGGGGGAAAGATCCCGTGGGAGAAGGCAATATCAGGGGAGAAATTGGGGTGATGAAGTAGAAGAGGGTGATGAGGAAGTGCAAGAACGAAATGAAAGAAATCGTAGAAATAGAAGGGGTTATGATAATAGGGGGAAAGAATATGAAGATGATAGAAAGCAACGTTACGACAGAAACAGGACTAATGATGGGAGAAGGCATGAGCATGCCAGAAGAAGGGAAGATAACGACACAAGAACTGATTATGGAAGAGGAGAGGATAGGAGGTCAAGGGATAGAAATTATGAGGAAAGAAATGATGAAAGATATAGTAGTGATCCAAGCAGACGATTTGGTGAGGGAAAGAGAAGCGACTGGCAAGACAGAAGACAGGGTAAAGAAGAGAGAGGAGATCAGAACAGGAGAGGTACTGGAGGATTTGGGAGTCCTGGGAATGAAAGGTATGTTCATTATAAACAAATAAAACTATTGTTATTGAGGAGTTAACAGTATGTGGAACTGTTAAAACCCAGTATTTAAATTATTGTTTAACCCATTCGCTCCTGGAGATTTTGCCGAAAAACGCGTTTTGAAGCTAGTCGAGTGGTTTTCTGGTCACTGTCGTGCTATAAAGAGCTAAAACTTACCACAAACCGGTTTACAGGTCGTACACTTGGCGGCCTTCTGATCCAGATGCAAAATATCAGCTTGCGAAGTTCGGGCATGCGCAGAAAGCAAAATTTCCCTTCTTTTTTGGCTTTTCTTGCCTCATTTTTTTTTTCTCTTGCTGGGCATTTAGTAGGCTTCATTTTGGTGGGAAGAGTTTCTAGGAAAGCTTTTAGGATCTTAGAATTAGGTGAAAGGAAAGGTAGGTGGGTAATGGAACAAGATTTTCATGGAGATTTTCAGGTCCTTGTCACGTGGTTTTTTGCTTCTTTCTCCGGTGTCCTTGACTGAATGGTGCTCATTCTGGTATGGTTTGAAAGATCTCTTCACTCTACACAAGTTAGCGAAGAAAGTTGTCCTTGACCGTTAAAACTGATGACGTCACAAAGGGTAGAAAGGACCTTGATCCGCACGGGCGGTTACGGGCGGTTCAGGGGCGAATGGGTTAATCAAAAAACCTAAAAATGGCCTTTTACCAACTTTTTCACCTGATTTTACATGAAATAGACAGATTTGGTTGTTTTATGCTGAAAAGTGGATTTTTTTCAAAAAGCTTGGTACTCTGCTTAACCCATTCGCTCCTGGAGATTTTGCCGAAAAACGCGTTTTGAAGCTAGTCGAGTGGTTTTCTGGTCACTGTCGTGCTATAAAGAGCTAAAACTTACCACAAACCGGTTTACAGGTCGTACACTTGGCGGCCTTCTGATCCAGATGCAAAATATCAGCTTGCGAAGTTTGGGCATGCGCAGAAAGCAAAATTTCGACATAGTTTTTGGGTTTAAAAGTGACACAGCAGTCTTGACTTTTACTTTTCGCTTTCTCTCCTCCCTTCTTTTTTGGCTTTTCTTGCCTCATTTTTTTTTTCTCTTGCTGGGCATTTAGTAGGCTTCATTTTGGTGGGAAGAGTTTCTAGGAAAGCTTTTAGGATCTTAGAATTAGGTGAAAGGAAAGGTAGGTGGGTAATGGAACAAGATTTTCATGGAGATTTTCAGGTCCTTGTCACGTGGTTTTTTGCTTCTTTCTCCGGTGTCCTTGACTGAATGGTGCTCATTCTGGTATGGTTTGAAAGATCTCTTCACTCTACACAAGTTAGCGAAGAAAGTTGTCCTTGACCGTTAAAACTGATGACGTCACAAAGGGTAGAAAGGACCTTGATCCGCACGGGCGGTTACGGGCGGTTCAGGGGCGAATGGGTTAAACAGTATTTAAATTTCTTTTTTAACAATAAGAGGACTGTCAGCAAGATTTCAAGTAGCTGACTATATGCAATTAGAAGGCAGAGAATAGGACGATTGCACGATGACGATATTTGACTACAACTACCAGAATTCATTTCGGTTTTGCTTTGTTTAATATTTAAAGTTGTCAATCCCGCTGAGGATTAAAGAACAATAGCCTTAATTTGCACAAGAAAACAACAAACTCAAGGATTCTGGTAGTTGTGGTAAAATGACGTCATCGTGTGATTGTCCTATTGAACAGCTAGAAAGTTTTTTTGGTTCTATTTTCTTTTTACTTCCTATGAGAGTAGCCGGGGTCATGGATATGGTAGCTGAGGTAATCCCCAGCCTCCAGCTCTTAGTGACTTCCCTGTAATAATACTATTCTCCCTAGCATACGTGCTTATCCCCACGAAAGTCACTTTAAGTAAAACACAGCAGGGATTTCAACTAGACAGTCAAACAAGTATAGTGTACCCTGAGTGTAAAAGTTCTGAAATCCTTTCACCTGTAAGCCAGGCTTTCACTTAAGAGCGGCAAGGACAAGCCCAAGTATTTCACTGTGAAAACAGGCCCAATCAATTTTTTCATTTTGAGGGGACCTACATGCACTAAAAATTCTTGCCTCTTTGTTATGTGTCGAAAATGGACTGAATCACAAGTCTGAGGCACTGTATTAAGCTTGGCCTATAAAATCACCTGTTCCTGGATTGCATTCTGACCGTTTTGGCATAAAACAAGATGGAGGTGTTGCGCACATGTTGCATGGCATTCAGAATGTATCACAAGAAGTACCTAGGGAACAGTGTGGCAAATTTGCATGTTGATGCTCTTGAATATTAGGAAATATCTACACTCACAAAGGATGGTAAAATTTAGTCCACTTGCAATGATTTTATGTTCCTATAATTTTGTTTTAACTGTGACGGAATTACTGTAGTTTAGTTGGTAGAGCACTTGACTGTGGAGCTGTTCAATTCCCAGGGCCAGTCCAATACTCAGGGTCTTAATATAACTAGGAGATGAAGGTAATCTTTTCGCACTTTAAGTAGCTAGGCCTTTGCTTAGCATGGATGACTGATTATTATTATTATTCTTGTAAAGAAATGACACAAGGGATTTAAGAGCAAGAAGAGGCCAAAAGGACGACAATCAGGGCAGAGGTGAGGACCCTTCCCCTTCAAATGAGATTCAAACAAAATCTTCACCCAGCAGTACAACCCACAGTTATAGTAAACTCAGGGGGAGGGGAAGGGGCAGAGGCCAGGTTCAGGAGCTCAAGAAGCCAAGGAAAAATGCAGCAGATTTTACACGGGAGCGAGAAGAAGCTCGGAAAAGGGAAGCACAGGAAAAGAAGAAACAGGAGGAAGAGGAGCACTTTGAGGGTGAGTGGAATGTTTCCATTAGCATTTCTTTTCTTTTGACTAAATTACTGTGACATAACATTTAAACTGTTGCTTATAAGTCCCAGGGCTTATATCCTAGGTAGCTTGTAACTGGAATAGAAAATTGAAACAAGTTTCTGTTATAGCAGTGCTGAGCGAAATAGTATGTTTTTCATTCATTGTTTTTTACACTTCAAAACTAGGCATTTGTACATTATGGTTGCATTTTTTGAGTATTTTAGTGAAGCAAAAGCATTAATAAGCACTATTCAAGCATTTTAGTGGCATTTTCCCTGGATTTTTCAGAGAAAGTAAAAATAAGGGTTAATTGTTTGTTTTTTTTACGCGTAAAAAAATTTTAAAGCTTTACCTCAGCAACTTTATGTGGTGCTGAAGCTGTTATTTATTTTGTTGATTATTGCTGTCTTGTTTATTATAAACAATTGTTGGATGAGGTTTTTGTGATATCCCGAATAATCAAAGTCGATGTAAGTGTTATCAGCTGAGCTGAAGGTTAATCTGTTGCACTTATTTCCAAAATTAACAGTAGGCTCTTAGCCAATGAGAAGACAAATGGTGAGTACAGTGTATAATATTTTCTAAAATTCTTTGTAGATGCTGAAGAGGCTGATGGAGAAGTAGTAGAAGAAGAAGAGTATAGTGAAGATGAGCAGAATGAAGACTTGGCACAGCAGGAGGAGCAGCAAGAGGAAACAGAAGAATATCATATGGCACAGGAGGTGAAATTTTACATTCCTTTTTTTCCAAGCCATTCATTTATTTCTCCATCCATGCATTTATGTCTCCACCCATTCGTCTGTCCGTTCGTCCGTCCGTCCTTCCATCTGTCTGCTGTCTGTCTGTGCTATCCATCCCTTCCCATCCATTCATTCACCCATTCACCCATATCTTACATCCCATTCATCTGTTTGTCTGTACAACCATCTCTCCATCATCCATCTCTGAACGCTGTGCTCTAAGGACAAATACAGAGAACCCTCAAGCCCTGAGGGTGCCCAACATACATTACATTTGGTGTAAAACCTAAGGTTTTCTGGTTGCCCATAGGCAAATGTCGGCTACCAGGGGCCACATTATGTCTCACGACATGATGATCATCTAGCCTGCATAACAGACGCTTGTCAGTAATATGCAAGCAAGAACAGGACACGCAACAGAGACACACAAGGGGGGAGGGAACACCTGCTTGATTAGCCCATGACTCCTTCTCCCCTCCCATGTCTCCTAATTTAATCTTGAAAAACTAAGACAAGCCGTCCAATTTTTGGCTCTAAGTTATGGAATGAGATACCAGGTAGAATGAGAGATATGTCAAAAAATTGTTTAAATGAAAATTAATCAGCGTGCTCTTTGATATATCAAAAGACAAAGATAATTACCCTGATGCAATCATGATAATGCAAGAAATAAAATCACGAAATCCTAAACCTCAGCTTCTTTACAACTTGCATTAAACAGCTGATTTGTCTATCTTGCATTTGATGTTATTACAAATATTAATTTTTTTCTTTTCTCTTCTTTTACTTAATATAAATCAGGTGATATCTGTTTGTAATATAGCTGATTTGGCATGCCACGACTAACGTTTAGGCAAACTGTGTGCCAAGAAATTGTAAGCAATATTAACATAAGAAATGTCTTGTCTTGTCTCTCCCGCACACCCTGTTCTTTCTTGCGGCCATTAATTCCAAGCCCCTGTCTTGCAGGCTACTAGCCATCCTACTCCTCTGCCTCACTTGCTTCCATCACCCTTTCACTTTTGAAGTACATGTAAGAAGTTCAATCAAAACTTTAAGATTAATTAAATGTATTTAAAAACTCATGCATCAAAATAATACCTCACAAAAGTACCTCTGAAGTGGTTTCATTAATTCCTAAAACTGGTTACACCATGGAATTTAGTCCCTGACTCATAACTGACTAGCTGATTAAAAATATTTTATCAGTTACAATTTGTCTTCCATTTACCGGTAATAACTTGGTGCATGTATATATGCTACCACAATATTTATGGTTATGCTTCAGTGTATGCTGTATTATTTAATTTATTATAGGTAGTTGAAGAAGAGACATCTGTTGGAGAAGCTGTGCAGGCTGGTTAGTTGAATTTAAAAAAAAAAAAAAAAAAAACAATCATACTCTTAGTCTCTAGGTCTTCTTTTTAAGCTTTTGCTTTGTTAATGAGGCTGAAACCATTAATTTTTTGTTGGATTGCACGCATTTTAGGCATCCTGCAGATCAACAGTTGCAACAGTTAGATATTTGCAGGAGGAACAATCGATTATAGTTTACTCCCTTTCAAATTATTAATGAAATATAGAAACGTACTGGATGTGTTTTTATGATAAGCAAGGTGGGAAATGTTAACAACAAGAAAATAATGCTAGAGAAACAGAAACTACAGGCAAGTACATCTTACTTTTCTCAAGACATTTTTTTTAGTGTATTTAACAGTTTCCAATAGAGTGCTTATAACAGTCAACTATGAAGAGAAACAAGCTTGTTAAATCGTTTTTTAAATGGCCCATGTGCCTGTTTGTAGTTATGACATAGGCTGCATAGATAATTCTGACCCTGTTATGTCAAATTTGAATGATTTTAGTGTTATTGCTTTAAATATTGGTGAAGGTAAAGAAGATTCATGTTTATTTGTTTGTTCATTCCTTTACTTTTTCACTCACAAAAAGTTACTTCACTGTCTTGCAGCTGAAAAGCAGAAAAAGTCTTCTAAAAAGCCAGAAAGTAAAAAATCAAAACAAGTTTCCCCCAAAAAGGAAGCTGGTATGCCAGGTGTACCAAGTCCAGGGCCATCGCAAAGTGTGCCTACAACTAAACCCAAACGTTATTCTTCACAACGACAGCAGCGCACCACACAACAGATGCCGGTTTCCATGCAACAAGCAATGATGTCGCAAATGGGGGCGGTCTACCCTGACCCAGCTTATTTTGAGCAACTAGGTGAGTTTCTTCTTTATACAGTTTTAACTCCGTTTGATGACTACTCAAACTGGGAATACTTAGTAGTTGCTTATGGAAGGTGGTCATTTACAAGTTAGAGTTGAACCACGGGGGGTCTTTTACAAGAGGAGGCCCAGACACATCTACTTCATGGAAGATAATTTATTGCATACAATTTCCAAGTTGCTATATGTCTAGTACCATGTTTTTGCTGAAAGTTATTCTTATACCGTAAAATTCCAAAAATAAGCCCCTCCATTTATAAGCCCCTCCAAAAATAAGCCCCCCAAACTGGTAACGCAAAAAACCCTCCATTAAATCGCCCCTCCAAAATTAATATAAGCCCGCCGGGAGCTTGTACTGGGAAAATTGCCCTCACATACAAAGTAAAACAAAGCAAAACGGTAAATTTACTTCTAACTATAAGGCTAGCCCAATCGATTTTTAAACGCAAATTTCCACTCTGTATATAAGCCCCTCCGATTATAAGCCCCTCTAAAAATATGCCCTCAAAAAGGGCCTTTGAAAAATATAAGCCCAGGGCTTATTTTTGAAATTTTATGGTACTCTATGTAGCATAGTAAATACAGCGGACATAGAGATCAGACAATGTGTCAAGGCGTCGTGTGCAAGAAGTTAAAAACAATGGAAAATTACTCAACCGTCAGCGCTGAAACATTGTCGCAGCTCCTTACAAGAGGTGGTTGTTTACGGGATGTTCCAACTATAAAGTTTTGTACTGGGAAATTTTGGTGTTTTTGATAGGTGATAGCATAATTAATTGAGTGGAATGGTTATGAAACCCGTCAGACTCCTTTGTTATATGTTTCTGTGGACCTGGAAGGTTGATTGTATTGACCAATATTAAAACATTGCATGGAGGTTTGACTGTAATTTCAGGAAATTTGTTTTTTTATCATTGCCGCTTTTCATAACCAGTCTCCTCTAATTTACAGGATGAAACAACAAAATTAATTTGTTTTGAAAAAAAAAAACTTAATAAGTAAATTCATGAGGGGTTGTTATGACATCTTTTAAAACTCCCTTATCTTTTGCAAAGCTCAGGCTACTGACCTTCAGGCTTGTAAACTGGATCAAAACTTTGCCCTTAGGATAAACAAGGTTTCGTATTTTTATCTCGCACTTTAAAGGCAAAGACTGATAATTAACACTTGTTTCCATTTTCTTCTTTGCAGCCTATCAAGGTTTGTATGTTCCAGCAGGGACCCCTCCGGCACAACCTGTTGGTGTCCATGTTCTGCAGGAACAACCAGATGTCATGCTGAGACAGGACATGGCTGTTACACCTGGTAAGGACCCACAAGGAACCTGATCCCATGGCCTGTTTCTCGAAAGTACCATCACTTTACAGGCACAAGTCTCTTTCTAAAGCCAAAATCCAAAGAATTTTAGTGCAGTTTCTCATTCCCTATCCAGTTTATTTTGTTTTTCTGACTGAAAGTTGTATTCCACTACTTACAAATTTAAACGTCCTTCTAGACCTGGTAATATTATTTCCAAGACCTCCTAATATGGACTTCAGAGGAGAATCCCTTGAAACCAGTTATTGTTGTTTCTAAGAAGTAGAAATGGATACTCTAGCAGTGGCGCATTTCAATTTGTATTGAGTATGCGTCAGTGAATTTTCCAATGCCAGCGTGTAAAGAAAGTCAGTTTTACAGCTTGCCATTTGGGCAAGCTGTAGTTAGCATGTACTAGTTCAAAAGTCATCTTAACTAGCCTGATGATGAGCAGGGTTGATAACAGTTCTTTTGTGATTAGAATTCCCTAAAAAATTTCACTTGCCAGGCGGGCAAGTTAAGAACAGAATTCACTTGCCTGATAGTAAAATCCACTAGCCTCGGGCTATTGGACATGACTTTCTTTGCGCGCTGAATGCAGACATCCTTTTGGCATAGTCCTTTGTACTTGACACCTAACAGGCTACAACCTCAGACAAACTTTCAAGGCAGTTCCATCTCTTTAGTTTCTTTTTATTGATAATGCATGATTCTTCTTACTTACTACATTACCTTCAAATGAGAACAAATTTACCCTCTTCCTCTCAGTGTTGTTATGGTCTTAAATTATGTGTGACGCAAAGCAACATGAACGGATAAGATGGGGGGAAATGACCACTTTTCATTTTAGTCATGCGACAGGAAATACCGTCCAACCCTGTTAATTCGGGTACTGAGGGGGCCACAGAAAGCGTCCATATTAATGGGGTGTCCATATTAAGTGGGTTGATTTTAGTAAAAATGTAAGGGCTCTCTTTCCCCAGGGACTGAGCGAGCTGTCCGTAATAATGAGGTATCTGTATTGAGTGGGTGTCATTAAAGCAGGGTTTGACTGTAGTAGAAAGTTTTCAATGTCTCAACTAGTTCTGTACATGGTTGCACCATTAGTATCCTCTGACAGAGATTGCTTGACGCAGATTGTGTGATGCAGATTGTGTGACATAGCCCTAAGAGCATCTGCATGAGAGGCTAAAAGTTACCAACCAACTTTCATGTGAAATTTAATTCAATTGCCTGTGATAAGGTGAAAACTGACCTCTGTATAATCTTATAGGAGACCGGCCTGAAATGGCTGCCGGGATGCCAATGGCTAACCCTAGTCCGCAACCAATGGGAGCTCTTCAGCATGAGACCATGATGCAACAACAACTAGCTGCAGCAGCAGCAGCTGTCGCAGCTCAACAGAGTGTAACCCCTGAGGGTGTGGCCACCCCCAGAGTTCCACAACCTGCTTTGAGCCCTCAACAACAACAAGTTTTAGCAGCACATTTACAAATGCAGGCTCAACAAGGTTTGTACAGTGTTATGTGTTATTGACCAAGGTTGTTTACCATTTACAAATTTAAAGTTTCTGGAAAATGCGGTTAGAAAGTAAATAGAACACTACTTTTTAGGTCGTTCCATGGGAAAATTCCCAGGAGCAATGGAACGTGTGAAAAGGTAGTTTTTCCAGATGGAATGCACCAAATGGAAATTTATGTTCTTTTTCCTCAAAGCATATTTGATACCATTTTCGGGCCTTCGTGGCCATTTTCAGGTAAACGGAACTGATTTGTACAAATGGTAGACAGGATTCCAGGATGAAATTTATCAGTCCTGAATTTTGCTTACCATTTGCCCAAACCGAGAACTGACAGGTTTGCCCATGTAATTTGGAAAGCAACCCAAGTGTGAAGTTAAGGTGGCCGGATTCTGGCCAAGTTCTTTCTTGCATATTTATGGACTGAGATGAAGTAAATACAAGGGCAAACATTAATAAATTAATAATTAAGTTTTAAACGTATTATTATTAAAACACAAAAAAGAACGAGGCCAATATCAAGTTATCTTGTCGGAATAAGCTTGCCAATGGGATTTATCATACGATCAAAAAGGTAACTTTTTTGTGGACCAACTTCGGTAATGTGCGGCAGGTGCAATGGGCCCATTTTGCCCGCTCAGGTAGCCAATCACAACACAGTATTCACTTCATCTTGCTTACTCACCATTTCAGCCATGTAATAATAATAAGTATTGCTGACGTATGTCAGTGAGACGCCACATTTTATCATATATTGTAAGTGTGAAAGTTTCTTAAACTTCGTCACCAACAAATGAGTTTGGGGAGAAGTGAGAAACCCAAAAACTACTGGTTAAATTGTTTTTTTTTTCTTTAGGTATACAAGCTGCTCAGCTAGGCCCAGTTCCCCAGCCCAACATGGTGACATCAGCTGGTTATGTTCCCAATTACACTGGGGTCCAGTCCTTTGCAGGCCAGCCCTTGATGTACAATAATTCACAGTGAGTCAATTGCTAACAACTAGGTGTAGTCCCCTCGCTTGTGCATTTAGTACCTTTCTTGAAATGTAACCAACCATAGAGAACAGAACTAAGATGATTAGGGGACGGGCCATTAATTTTTTGACTCGGGGTGGGGGGTGGAAAATTTTGAAATAAATTGTTTGCAGAGGCTGTTAACACTGAAATAAATTGTATGCAAGAAAAAAAATGTTTGCAGGAAGACGGAAACACACAAAAAAGTTGTTTGCAGCAGAAGCCACATATAAAAATAATGTTTGCATGTGAAAATTTTTCACATGCAAAAAAAAGAATGGTCTGTCACGTCAAGGACTTGTTAAACTTCCTTGTAGGTCTCTTTACTCGTTCAATAATCCTTAGGTATTGGACCATTCAGTAATTTTTGCATAGGAAATTGGAGCTGAAACTAAGCTATGATTATGACATTTACATGTAAGGACACTCATTAAACATGAATTTCTTTGTATTTTCCTCATGAAAACTCAAACTGTGTAAATTTTATTATTTAGTTGAGCTATTTTGGTTGTGCTACGTGACTGTACGATGCAGTTCAGTAATACGTGTGTTCATTTGAGATTATGTGACTGCACAATGCAGTGGTTATGTCAGCCCACAAATGACCTGCTAATCACTAGAGTTCTCAGTAGCTCAGTGGTTAGAGCATCTGACTGTTGTCTGGAAGGTTGTGGGTGCAATTCCCATCTGGAACTCAGAATTTTTTGTGTTCTTCTCTCTACTCATGTCATTCAAGTTACTGGTTGTGCTTTTCCTTTCAGATTTCCAATGATGAATGTTGGAATGAATCCTTTCTTGGGTCAACAAGTGAGTTACATCAGCAGTTTATCTTCTGCTTTATGTGTAGTTTATTTTTAAGTAATATCACAGATAAACTGTACCATGTGGAACAAATCTTTTACCTGGTTTGGTAACATTGTACCGCTAGCCATGCAAGCAGAATTTTGTTTCAAACTGTAGTCTATTTCTTTCATGTTCGTTGTGAAATTTAGGAGTCTTTTTTCAAAGTGTCATGCAAAATAAAATTCGGGGTTTAATTCGATTTTGAGTGCCCTTTTTCCCATAGGAGGCTACAGATGTTTTTATGTCAATGTCCTAAAAATTAACCTCAAGTAATGACCCTAGCCAATCACAGTTTACTTGAGTTTTACGCTTGGAATTCAAATGGACCAATCAGGTGTAACCGTTATGTCGCCGCTGCTAAGCGCGGGAAAACACGCGTAAGCAGGTCACATGATCCGTTTGAATTTTACTTCTGATTGGTGGAGACAGCGGCGCGACGTGTTTCAGCTAATCACAAGCGTAGCAATGCAAAACCAAAGCAGTTACAAAATTGCTCTCTTCACTTAGTTGAAAATCGCATTGTACTAACAGTGTCGTGTTTTTGTGCCTAGATGTATGGTATGCCCATGCAAGGGGGAGGTACATTTTATCCGCCACCAGCCGCATTGATGCAACAACAGCAGCAACCCCAACAGTCACAGGCTGAATCGTCGCAACAACCACATACAAGACGGCGGCCAACGGCAGCGATACCCATCAAACCACCGCAGGTGAGTGTTGATTGAATATATAGTTCCTGGCCACTATCCACTGACCAGGGAGCCTGAGGGCCCTGGGTACGAAAGCGTGGTACGCCACAAGTTCTCTAAGCCTCCAACTAAGAAAGGATAAGTTTCGTTCCCGGAGCTTTCAAGCTTATGGTCATTGGCCGGTCGCGAGGAAATTCTTAGCACATGTAAAAAATATAAATATTTTATTGGTTCATTAAGTGTCACTACCAGTGAAAAGATGTTCGTACAGCCTTTCAGATGTTAAGTTTGAATTTATTACTAGAACTCAATTCATCGTGCTTGTGCCTCAAATTTTCTAGCTGCCGAATGCTATGACATGCCTATGTCCACTGCTCATTGAGGCTCTGTATTTTTGAATTTTTCCGCTGTCCAGTTGATTATTTCCATTGCATCGGAGGCTCAAGTTTTATATTGTTGTTGGTGCGTAAACGTCTTTGCAGGAGTAGCCTGCGAGCGAGCTCTCCTTTTGGGGAGTCGCGAGAAGTCACGCGAGTACCGCACGCGAAAGAAGACATGCGTGCGAGGGATGGAGGAAGCTCCTTTTCCTCCGCCCCTCACGTCTTTGCCGCTCGCTCGCCACTCGAAATGGAGAGCTCGTTCGCAGGCTATTGCAATAGTTTCAACTTTCAACTCAATTGTTAGTATTTGACAGGAGCTTCACTTTAGATTCGCCTAATCTCTCAATTGCAATGTTTTTGTTTTTCCACTTTGCAGGACAAAAGAACAGTGAAATAATAACAACATGTCATACCTAATGTACATATTATCAAGGGAATTATGGAATCAAGGCCCATTACTTTTGTTGTTAATTTTGTCAATTTTTTTTATATAGGAAAGGACGTGAATGGAATTTTCTGCATCCGCAAATGGAAGCACAGAGAACAGCTTGCCCAGATGCATGCTGGAAACGGGAGGGAATCAGGTGACCAACTCAGGTCGAGGTCAAAGAAATGAACGCTCCACAGAATGCGGGCTAAAACAGGAACGTTGTCTACCAATTAAGCAACATCTGGACAACTTTGCTAATTAAGTTAAAAGAATTTTTTATTCTTTTATCATTTGTTCCAGCTGCGTTTTAGCTATTTTACATTCCTAAGAGCCGTAAGAATCGAAAGAGAACTGAGGGAAGGTAGTTTTTACTTTTTTCTAAAGCACAAAAAATACACTCGCTAAAAGAGTTTTCAAATGAACAATAGGCTGATTTAGCAACAGAACGGGAACGTCAGTCGACGACGGCGCGCGTAAATCAAACAACTGTCTTGACCAATGGCAGAGCAGCAAATTGAGCACCGGAAGTCGTGTTTAGTTCTTTCCGCGCGCTTTCCCGTCGTCAACTGGCGTTCCCGTCCTGTTGCTAAATTAGCCTAATGCTGCCGTAAATACTGTGCCTTCAAACTCCAGCAGAAAGTTAGATCTTGGAATTCTTAAATTCTTGTTTGTGCATTATTATAAGAGTTTCTTTTCTACCCCACTTGCAAACACGTGAAAATAATTTTCACAGTTGGTTTCGTTTTCGACTACTGTGCTTTCTGACTGTCTTAGAAAACTCGCGTCACGTTCACGACCAGTCAGAAGGGAAATGAAAGTCACTCATACCCTAAAATTCCGAAAATAAGCCCCTCCATATATAAGCCCCTCCAAATATAAGACCCCCAAACCGGTAACGCAAAAAACTCTCCGTTAAATCGCTCCTCCAAATATAAGCCCCTGGGGCTTGTACTTGGAAAATTGCCCTCAAATACAAAGTAAAACAGAGCAACAACGGTAAATTTACTTCCAACTATAAGGCTAGCCCAATCGATTTTGAAACTCAAATTTCCCTCCGTAGATAAGCCCCTCGGAATAAAAGCCCCTTAAAAAAGAAGCCCCTCAAAAAGGGCCTTTAAAAAATATAAGCCCCGGGGCTTATTTTTGGAATTTTACGCTTAGTACCAGTGTTATGTCGCCTTGGATACTGATTGGTCCTTCTTGCATGCACGAGTTCTGATTGGCCAGAGTTACGTGCGAGTAATGGTAAGGAAAAGCGAAGGTGGTGGAACGACTAAACGTGCCCCTTCTCAAGACTGTACAGTACTTGATATTCATTTTTGCTTTAAAACACTTTTAAGAACAATTTTATCCTTTGAATCGCAAATGCTGGTATATATTCGTTGTGTACGTAGTGCAACTATTTTTATGATGAACCAACAGTGACATTTTATTTTCACGGTGGATGGTTTATTTTTTATGCGGATTTTCAATAAGCGAAGGTTTTCAGTAATATGTGGAATAAGGTTACTCTACCGTACATTTTATTTGTGCTTTAAGTTCTCGACGTTGGTCTTTTCTGATTTTTAGCACTTTTATAATGTATCTCTGTTAGAACCAGCCTATCAAATCAGATGTATATGACGTAATGAACCAATCAAAACTCAAGGAAGTAAGATGCAATTGATGATATTTAAAGCGCGGGAAAATGAGCGTCGGTCAAGCCGCTTCTCTTATTACGTCATGTCAGGTTTGCTCGTTATTGGTGTAAAAACGGTAGTAAGTTTTTACACCTGACCGATCATAGGCCCTAATGATTTTCTTTGTTTACTGTAACCTGCGTAACAAATGCTTGCATTCGAGTTTTTGCGGGAAAGTTGAAGCGGAGCAAGGAGGAAGAGGAAGAAGCAAGGGGAGGGCAGGGGAAAAGAGGAAACCTTTTCCTCTTACTGTCGTCGCAACTTTCTTGAGGAACTTGTGCAGAAACGCTTGCTACGTCTGCTATGATGACTTGTTTACGTTCGAGTTCTCTTTGCTTTAGCAATCCGCTTTTATGGAAAGAAACGCCCGTTCTAACACTTACTCGACTCTCCTCTAGTTTTCGTTAATCTGTAAGCGACATTTTGTGTAGGTAAACATTAAAAAGTAGTCATCCAAGTGGTCATTTTGTTTTCAGTAGTGATTATGATAATACCCCCACACACTAGCCTTCATGGCATGCGTCCAAACGGGTAGGGGGAGGGGGAGGGAGAAAAGTGCCCTACCCCTTTCGACGCCTGCTACGCAGGCTAACACACACCGGTAGATTTCTTGGTTTGATCGGAGCTAACAAGTGTTTTGACTGGCACCAATGATTCAGATTGGTAAAGGTGGATTCTTACGATCCATTGGTACCAATTCTACGATTGGTACTATTAGGGAGCTTCAATCGATATATATCCATCGGTGAAATGCACAATTTCATAAGGAGACTTAAAATAATATATAGGGTATTTCCGAGTTGTTTAAAGCCTCCGTTTCAAAGCGAGGGTAAGTGAGAAGGCATTGATATGAAAATATGAAAATGAATTTTTATTCTCACGGAAATAATTCTCATTTTCACAAGAGAGGCCTCGTTTTAAAAGTGACAGTTATTTGAAATCAGAAATAACCTATTTTTCTTTAGTTCAGGGGGATTCCGAGAGGAAAATGAGAGATGTGTTTAACCAATGTTTCGTTGGGTGAAGTGCATCTCATCAAGGGAAAGGCAACATCCATGAAATATTGACATGCACATTCAGACAATTTTTCGCAAAGTCAACTCGAAGATTTGGTCAAAAAATGAAGTTGCTGTTGTCTTTCCCTTTGAGCAAATGGACTAAGAAAAGTTGCTTGGTAATATTCTAAATACAAAACAAACCTAGCCTGCGAACGGCAGACGTTTCTCCTCGCTCATCGCCATCATCCTCGTTCAAACCTGTTAACAACCTGATTTGTTGCAAGACAGGTTCGACGTGGGTGGTAAAACGCGCAACATCGCTATTCAACTTGTTCTGCAGCAATGTTGCAAGACAAGTTAGACGTATTTTTGTTGCCCGTTTTTCCGTACCTTGAATAAATGATAGTCCCTGTTGGCACCTAAGTCAAATTTAGAAGGGTTTGTATGGCGTTATCAGAGCATAACTGGGCTAATATCTCAGAGACAATTTGCGGCATACACAATGCCGGTTTTTGGTACGTAGGCCTCTTGGATGTTGTTCTTTCAAAATATCTTGACAAATCCCATAATTTCACAAATTTAATTTTTTATGACGTCAAACTTTAGAACTCTCCAGTCACCACCTTCATCATCGTCATCACCATTAACATAGTTGTCATCATCATCATCATTATCATCATCATCGCCATCATCTTTATCAGTAACCAACATCAATTACATCTCCATTATCATAATCATCTTACCATCCCCATCATCGCTATCATTCTCTTGTCAAGTATAGTACATATAGCCCAACCTCGTCCGCAGGGGAACGAAGTTGCATATGGCCCCCTTCTAACAGTATTTCTGAATAAAAGGATGGATGTGCGTACTTCCAATAAAATCGGATGAATGTGCTAGCAATTTATCTTAAGTTAAGTCCCAGAAGAATATTTGATTATTTTTCGTAACAAAATACAAGGAGCCGAATGCTCCTTGAAAATACAAACTATTGCGAGTTTGCCTCAAAGAAGAGGAAAATTTCACATTTATTTTGAATTCCGTTACTACGACCAACCAAGTTGATGATGTTCAGTACTCGTTGGCACCTGTCAGTTTTCTTTTAGGGTGTTATAGGAATCATCGGCTTTTCATTGATTAGGCAGAAGTGAAAACAGCCCACATTCGCGCGCACGAGCGCAGTCCCATACCTAAGAAAGTGTGGTAATCTACCCATCCATCCCCATCCAAGAAATTTTGGTAATCACGTGACCGTACGCCAGCCCGCCCGACCGTCCGTCCGCACCACAGGCATACCAATGTAAAATAATTCAATCAACACTTTACAGGTATGGTAACCCAAATGCAACCATTCTCGTCGTTTCTTGGTCACGTGGACTGGTTCGTTACAAATTAAGCCGAGTGGCTCTGAGGAAGAGAATGAAATGCAACTCGAAGTTATTTTGGCGGGAAATCGCGTAGCCACCAAGCCACCTCAATCTAAGAGAGTGAAGCCTGGGATCAAGAAGAAACCAAGATGGCGACTGGAAAATGGCGTGCTTGTTCAGACTCCAAAATACCTTAACATTACAGTGGTTACACGTACATTATCACCATGGATAGATTCTTAGTGGAATAGAAATGTGCTGCGTCAGCAACAGGAACTAGCAGGACAAAGTGTTGGCCTGGAATTGAAGGTGGGCTCTCTTGAGTGAAACTATTCCTTCCGTTAATATAAAAAGCAGCTGAAAAAGTTAATTTTGAAAACTTCTACACGGATTTGTTATGCATACATTTTCTGACTTAAACTTAAACTCCATCTTCTTAGTAGTCGACGGTTTTTGTTCTGTAAGCAGGCGGTCATGTCATTGTCGTGTTGCAATTTTTTATTGCAACATGCAATGACCGCCTGCTATTAGTTGAAATAAAATAAAATAAGCATTGGGGGAAAATGGTTTCTACTTTGTACTAACATGACTGCCGTGCTATTTGAATACCAAAGAAATCATGAGAAATGAGTGTTAAGAGAAGTCATCATCCCCAGGAGATGTGGGGGTGGTGTACTCCATCAATAATTTCCTGTATTCTTCGTTTTCACTGTCACGCAATAAACACGGCACAAAAAAATACATTTGAAACCGTCCAGTGGAAGAAGCCAAGAAAATGAAATGTTATAAAAGACTAATATATAAACAATTTGTCCAAGTCTCAGGTCTTTGTGGCCCACAGTTTCTGAGTTAGTTACCGAAATATTTCACGCACCTTTGTAGAGCTTTGTATGGAGACGCCATACTGGTGGACAGAAACTGTCCACCAATATGGCCGCCGGAAATCAACAAAAACATCTGGAGTTCACTTTTTCTATAAAAGCTCTTCTTTTTCACTCGAGAACTAGCATACTTGCGCATAAACATATCTTCTAATACTTGAAATGGTTAAACTGCTGAAAATCAAGAGGAGAGACTTTTTTTCAAGGAGATAGCATTCCTCTTTTGGTGTCACGCACTGTGAAAACTCGGAACTTCAAACTGCTGTATTTTCGAAATGAAACATACTTCGGGGCTGGAAACTTGTACAAAGATGTATTTCCTACTAATCTTCAACCTAGTGTAAATAAGAATTCGTAAAACCTCGCTTTTTTGACTTTGCAATCTGATGACGTCACCGTGAAAACCATCAATTGGTGAGCCACTGAGGGTTTGAAACCCTGACCCTGTTTAGGATAAAAAATTCCCAAACTACATACCCTGTTTAGGAAAACAAATGCGGTCCTGCTTTAAAACTGTATATTGGCAATTGCAATAGAGCAAATCCATACAAACAAAATTCATCAAATAAATCAAATCATTATTGTGCAGGCAATACCCTGTTGACAGCATTGATTTTGTTAATTCTACATCCTGTGTCCCTGATTCCATGATAATCCCCAGGACGCAAAATAATTTATGACATGCGTCCTTGCAGGGCGCAGAGATCAATCAATCAACCATATAAGATGTTTTTGTAGAATATACTGTTCGCGTGATTTAGTTGTTTTATGTGGCTGTTCTCAAGACTATTGCTGAACAACATATATTTCTATTTCTTTAACTCTTTCCTTGTGCTTTACAGTACAAGGAGTATATTTTTATTTCATTAAACTGTAATGTGTGGTTCCAAAAATTATCCATACCTCCCCTATGGGAGGGATTTTTCTTAGACCCCCCCCCCCCCCACCTCTCTAGAAATTCCAGTTAAAAAAATGTCAAACATTTACCGAAATTTTTGGACCTTTACCCCCTAGGAATTTCCAGTCCCTTCTGTGGGGGTAGCCTGAATTTCATCCAATTACTTTGAGTCATTATTACTTCCTTAGTAACGTCTGAATTGACCAGTTGTTAATGCCATCCAGTGACATCACTACTCCTCCTTTGCTTTAATTCATGCAAAAAGTAAAACACGATTTTCAAGTGGCAAAACCAAGAAATATCATTTGGGAATGTTTACATGATACAGAAGTGCTTTACCCTTTTTGATCGTAATTCATGTTTAACGTTCAAACTATCAACTGCATGCAGTACTCTGAACCGATTGTAATTCAATAGTCAAACTCAATCACAGTCATGCAAAGAAATAACTACACACGTGGAACACTTAATTTAAAAACACGATGATTTGCTTTTATTGAAAAGAAGCTATTTGGTCCTTAACAAAGAAAAAGGAAACAAGAAAGAAAAGCTAACAGAATCAATACACTTGATGGTGAAAATAGGAAGAAGGTCGAATTATAACATTGATCTCATAAAGCTTTGCCTAAAAAAATTCAGTGCAGAAACCACAAAGCGGCTCTTAATGGAAAACCTACCGACTCTCCGCAATGATTCTTCATTCGCAGTTCAATTTAGCTTTTCAGTTTTGCTGAGAGGAGAAAACGACTTGAAGCAACTGGATGAAATTCAGGCTACTGTAGTGGGAGTATGGATATTTTCTGGAACTACACAATACGGAGTTTTGGAGTCAGATTAACTGCCTGGTTACATAAAGGCCCAAGCTTTTTCAAATAAGGACCCATTGTTTTTTGAACTGGTACTCATTGGCTCTAGACTGCGACGCATGACTTTTCACAAGATGAGTCTCAGTACGCACCATAATTTATTACTTGTAACAAAATCACTTTGATAGACTCACGCAAAATTATATAACCTGTTCAGGACAGACCCTTACACCTGGCCCCAGTTGTTCAAAAGGTGGATAATGCTATCCACCGAATAAATCACTATCCACTGGATAGCACAATAGGTTTCTCTAACACTTATCCATTGGATAGTGATTTATTATCCAACTTTTGAACAACTGTGGCCTGTTTTATTGGTCAGAGAAGTAAAAAACCATACCCTGTCTAGCGGCACGTCCTGGTTCCATAAGTGAAATGAGGGAGTTCCCCCGGCCATCATCTACGCAAATTTTTTTTTTAAGTATAGCTGCAGGATTTTCCAGAAGTTAATGTTTCACTGGTCAAGGTATTTTTTTGAGTTTTGAACGGCAAGCCTTGGAATTTTGGGGGTTTTGAGTTTGAATCTCTTTTGATCACCCCCGTCACTCTGACTTTGGCCGAGTACCCCTTCCTCTTCCTGGGCCGACGGAATACAGACTTCTGATACTTCTAGTGACGATGTTCACTTAATAGATACGTTTGAATTATTCTAAATTGCATTTACCATTAGCTACATTTTAAAATTCTTCACATAGAAGTTTATTATAAGCATTTTTTTTGTGTATGCAGGAGATTACATCTCTGGGAACTTTTGTTGTTTGTGTCAAGACAATAATTTTTATTATAATATTCAGCATTACTGGTAATATGATTATATTAAAGTATTGCTATCTTATCTAATTTTAGTTGCAAGAATTTCCAAAGTCAGGAAGGAAAATCCTCTAAAAGGGTTCATCTATCTCCAGGTACTTATTTACAACGTATATTAAAATTAATGTTAACCTAAAATCAGGGGTGTGGGGTCATTATATGCACATATGCCCATGCATACAGCTTAAATTGGGAAAAAATAGTTTCAGGCATGCCATTTTTACTTTGTTGTTCAATGCGTTATCATGATGCATTTGTAAATGCACAAAGATTTAGTATTGCCCATATTAAAAGTTTGACCGTGGATTGCAATTGGAAAACAGTAAAGGCATTCAGGATGTCCTAGCTTGTATATTTATAACATAATTAAAAAAAGCTATTCTTGATACTTTTTGGGGACTCGCTACTTTTGAGGAGGTCACTACTTTCGGGGGCTCGCCGTTTTCAGGATTTACCATATTAAAAGTTAGAAACTTTTGATGTTACTTTCAGGAGGTCATAATTTTTGGGGGCTCCCTACCATGGGAACTTTACGGTAATTAAATCGGGATGACTGATGTTTTATTCTTGCATTTTATTGTTGCCTTCAAAGTAGTATTTTCTTTATCCTTTCATTATTCTATATGGATTTTGATGTTGATGTTGTTGTCACAGAGTTTACCCTTATAAAGGGCAATCGTAACCTCCTTGATTGTATTACATCCAAGAGGTTCGGATCACAAGCAAGTCAATTACCACGGATTAATACAAAACGTTTTAGGAATAGTTATACTTTGATTGAATAAGGTTTAAATACAACTTAGCAATTTAACAATATAGATATCCAATGTTTTTATTGCAAATAATCTGTGCGATTTTTATGATTCGTATACTTCACTCTCTATGTATTTTGAGGGGCGAAATTAAGACATTTTATTTATTTATTTATTACTATTTTACTATTAACACTGTACTGTACCTAACAATTACATTTTCTTGAGTATTTATTTACTGAAAATGTCTTGTGGAAGACGCAGGGTAATGACATTTCCGAGACTCAAAATTTAAATTTCTGCCCTTCAGACCCCCTGCGTGTACACCAGCAAAATATCACACTATTCCCCAGGGGATCAAATTTGACCTGAATCAGTAATCATTTACATTAAGCAAGGATACAAAAATAGAACAGCTCTATTATTTATTGTATTTTAAATTAAGATGGTCATAACTTGTTGCTTACAGCGATTTGTGTTTTTTTGCAGGTCAGATGGGTATACCACAAACAGACTGGATCAAGTCTTCAACATTTAGGATTTAGAGGTTATCTTGAGTACCATACTTTGTAATCCAGCTCTTGAGTGAACCAGATAAACAGAACATGGCTGGCTTGTTCAGAAGACAACTAATAATCTAACGCTTCTGTTCAGTTGGACCATAGTTATGTTAAAGATTTGAGCTAAGTTCTGCTATATAGTTGAAGCAGTTTTACATCATTTCCATGTGCCAAATTTTTGCACAGTCATTGCAAAAATTTAAAGCCATATCTTCAATCACCCAATTAAATGGCAAACTTTCAAATTCACAGAATTACACTATCATCAACATTAATTTACTGAAAGTTTGGCAGAAAACAGCAAAGGACAAGGCTAATTCACCTAACAAAAAGTTAAATTCAGGCAAGTTACTGCAGTACACTGATGTGCATTGAAGTTTCATATAATAATTCAGTCAAGTTAATTTCTCTTTCAACAAAGCTTAAATATGCTAAAATATTTTATGCCAATAAAAAATTTTAAATTAAAGATAACAACACAACAGCAAGCCAAGAATTAAAGTTTGTTTATGAAAGGAAAACATGCAACTCAAAAAGGTGACCTCAACTCAGCATCTCAGAATTTAAAAATGTTGGTTGAAATGAGCATTTCATCAAATAACAACTTTGTGTAAACTAATATGAGCTGATCACCCAAAACATGTTCTAAATTTTTCAAACTTCAAAATTTGGAAACTAAAATATTTCAGATTTTGTTGGAACTGTGGTTAGGAACTCAGTTCATTTTCTCATGAGTTTTCACTTGGATAATTGACAGCACTGAGAACTTAATGCACAGAATCATGTTTTTGTATCAAATTTTTCCTCTTATCGACATAGAAGGAAAAGAGATGTAAAACTGACTGCAGGTTTGATCAGACATGCAATTTACATTGTGGCTTATACAGCTAACATCAATAGTTTACTGATTGGTTGACTGGCTGACTGACTGACTGACTGACTGACAGACTGACATGCTGATGGACTGACTGACCCACCAACTGACTTGCTGACTGACTGATTGACTGTTTGACGGACTGACTGAGACAGTCGTGGGCATACTAGCTCATTCATTCTCTCACTGAAGGACTGACAGGCTGACTCTTATCTGCCAGGGGGCTGACTCTTTGACCCAATGAATGACTCACCAGGTTACACTTCTCTCTGGGGGCTGAGAAGCTAACTCACTGGTTAGATTATATAGCACCCACTGGCTGACTGTCTTAGGACTTACTGACCAACTTATTACCTCACAGAAACAATGACTGATAGATTCTACTGTCTAATGATTGACAAATGGACACTGATTGAATGAGTCAGAGCAGACTTGCTGACTGTCTACAGGACTTACTGTCAAATTCATTGACTCACTTAAGGAATTACTGGCTGTCCCTGCTGTCGAGGAACTGACAAGCTGACTTACTGACTGAATGATTTAGAGCAGACTTGCTGACTTTGCTAGGACTTGTCACCTCTACTGTCTGGGGGCTGACAAACTGAATTAATGACTGAATGATTTGGAGCAGACTTGCTGGCTTTCCTAGGACTTGCCACCTCTACTGTCTGGCGGCTGACAAGCTGACTTACTGACTGAATGATTTATTAATTACTTAGGGCTCCTTGACTGATACACCGACTCATTGAAACACTGATTGGCTGATTGTCTTAGCTGTATGGTCTCGATAGATTGTATGTCTGCTTCTATTTCATTTCTTTGTACAGTAAATTTATTGTGAACTTTATTGTGAATCTCAAATCACCCATGGCTATTCACATCTACATAAACTGCAAGGGGAATGGGCACAAGCTTTTGGTGCAAAGGTCTATGGGATCGTATGGGTGACAACTTTGTTTTGATTGGTTGATGGAACCCAAGTTAAACTTAACAAGTGCTCAAAGTAGTCTGGGTAAACGTGCATAATCATCTTTTTTATTGGTATTCTTCCTGGAAAACCTGTATTTGACACGGCTGTAACACTAAATTCGCTTTCTTCTCATCTCGTTTGTTTCCTAAAAGACGGAACAGTAAGAGTTTTAAAACGTTAAATTTAACCGTCTATTTGGTGTACACAAGGAAATTTTTAAGTTAAAAAAGTAGTCTTATAACTTGGAAACCAATCCGTGACACAATGTTTGTTTGTTTCTTTACCAAAACAAAGTAATGCTTTTCCCATTAATGGTGGAATCTATGTACTGCCTAGACTGAAAAATGGCATTGAAATCTCTAGTGCAGCGTTGAATAAACCTGACGGTTTGAACGTTTTTAGATCAGTTTACGCGCGGACATTTTTAATTGCGTGGGGAGATTTGAGATTTTTTAGTGTCCAGGGTGATCAACATGTTGTTTAACATTTTCATCACTGTGGGAGTAAACGAAGTTCACAGTATCAAGGCAAAAGGTCTTGGATAACGCTTTCTTGTGTAATTTCAGACCGACTGTACCAAATAATTCATTATACCGCAAAATGCGCCACAATGTGTGCGTCATGTTTTTTTTTTATTTTCAATTTGCTGCTTAATCGTAGTCTTGTTTGAAGTTGTACTTGAGATTGTCGCGCAAGGCGTTTGTCTCTGCGTGACGAGCCCAAGAGCAACTTTAGACAGACAAGATATTTTTCTGTCGATCTTGTTTCTAAAAAGCACTTATTTGTGGCGTACTTGCGTTTAATTGCAAGTTGTTTGATTAAAATGATTAAAATGAGTCTGAATTTTACCACTAAGCTTTACCAAGAGTTTGTCAAAAGCAGAACTTAGCTCGCTCTTGATTTAAACCAGGTAGTACTTAAATGCACAAAATACGAGTGTTGGTGCGAGCTTAAGAAAGACCTTTCAAACTTGTTGCTTATAAGCAAAGTTATAAGAATTTGCGAGCGCGAACGGTCTCTTTATTGACTTGCCAAGTCCTATTACACGCGCGAGTATTTTCAGTTTCGCTGCTTTGGAAGGTTATGTTTTTCGAAAATTCGCATCGACATTTGTACTTTGTTGAAGTACTTGTGGTTTTGTCATACGTAAAGGATCGGACACAATAAAATATTGTGCGCAGTATAATTACGTCGTTTTTCGGCGCTGGGATTGTTGCGTGCGATGTGTGAAGAAAAACAATTATTTCTTAAATTCAACCTATCTTTTACAACATTTTATGCAACAATCGCTTGGGTGGAAAACGGTGTAAGTTAAAGACAAGTATATACTAGCGACATAAACACAAGCAAAACCGGTAGACAACAACTGAGTGCGGTGAGATTATGAACAACATAAGCAGAAGCAGAAACATAGGAAGAAGGAACACACTCATTCTATTCTTGTTCGTGTCACTAATTCACGCAATTTAAGGACAAACACATGAAAAATAAAGCGAACTCGTTTGTTTTTCCTGTATTTGTTCTTTCAATGCGTTAATTACTGGTGAGAATAGAAAGAATGAGTGCGTACTTTCTGCTGTGTTTGTGTTTATACTTGTGCTGTAACGTCCGCACTTAATAAAACTTGTGCTTGTGTTTATGTCGCTGGTGTAAACAAATCTTAACTGCGCGCAATGTTTTACTGTGTTCGAGCCTTTAGGGTTTCTTTTTCTGGTTCACTCAAGTAGTTGGATTACAAAGTAAACAGCACGGGTACTCAAGATAACAGTACTTTATTGAAGCAATAAAACTTGTCTCTGTTGTCCATTTATTTACAATAAAAAAAAATTAAAAAAAAAGTAATCTAGCCTTCCTCGCCCCTACCCGACTGCTTCCACTCTGCTCCGAGTCGGTGTGCATTCTTCTGTCCTCATTTAATATTCCAACTTTAAAATCCTGGTCTGTTTTATCTGATCCCTTCATTCAAGCTGGGGGTAGTTTGACACTTAGAAAATTCCGCCGTTTGTTCCCAAATGGGGTGGGCAGCGTGAAGAAAAGTGAGAGTTTGCTCCTCATGTCCTCAGGGTCTCATTCAACTTTGTCACAATACCACAGAAATGAATTTGGAATTAAAATTTTGTTGCCAATAAAATTTGTGGTGAAAAGTTAAATTTTGATTGAAGTTGCGTGTCTACAAATTCAATATATCGTAAATATCCAAGAGCCGTAGATGAGAAAAAAAAGGGCCCTACCAGAGTGAAACTCAGTACTAAGTGCGCTTCCGTCGGCAAACGAAGGCAAGAATTAAACACCGAATCCCACTTAGTCTGACCGGACCTTCATTCCTCAAACTTCACCAAAGAGCACAAGTCAATAATAATCTCTCCCCTGAGAGCTTCTGATACTGGATTTCTTTTGCCCTATTTAATGTTTATTTAGTGTTTATACCTTAATCAAAAGCAATTTGGTTGAGCTTTTATTTTTATGTTATTAGTGTCATTCTTAAATTTCGAAATTTCTGAAGGCAATTAATTAAAACATTTTGAAGCAAAATTTACGCGTTACTGGTTCAGTGCCGCATAAATTGTGCTCCAAAATGTTTTGATTATTTGAAAATTAACCTGCTCTTATGATTAAAGGCTGCCGTTATTTATAATCCGCGCCACTTTGGTTTTCGAAAAGAGTTTTTCTAAGGAAAATTATCGCGAGAGAATTGTAAACCTCGACTTTATTTAATCCCGAATTTAATATAGCTTGGTGTGATGTTTTCCTGCATAATAATTTAATTACCCAAAGATTCAGTGCCGCAAAAATTGAGTTTTGTTTAATTTAAGGTAAACCTTCCCTAACGATTAAAATTGCGCTTATTTAACATCAGTCAGTAATCGAAAAAAAGGTTTAATTTTTCTTACGGAAAATTAGCTTGACAGAATTGCAAACCTAATTTAAAGTTAAGGTCTACCAGAAAAAATTGGATTCAATGTTGAGTCTTTATTTATGCAGCTTGTCGTGATGTTTTCACGCATAATAATTAATTAACCCAATCCAAAGTTCCCTCCAGATTTCTAGCATTAGTCACGATGGTCACGCCAGCCGACTTCAACAGCCTTGCATGACGACCGTGACAATAGCTCTTTTAAAAGCGTGGAAACACC